AGGGGGTAGAGAGTTCCAGAGATGAGGAGCAGAGCAGGTGAAGGCCCTGCTCTGTTGCCCCAAAACCTGTTTGTGCCTTTCACTGATATTTGTTCTTTCAGAACTAAATTCTGCAATTAACGTCTCAGTGGCTTAGATGTAACTCTACACTTACTTTGTCCTTTAAAAAAAGAAGAGAGAATTCATGTTGACTTGACGGCAAGGTAAATGTAATGTTAAAAAATTATTCTGTACATACGCGTAAGGGTTCCTCTGCTTCCTTCCACAAACAACCCAATCATTTGTGATAGTGCAAAATGAGTATGCTGACTGTCTGCATAAACCAGTTGATTCAGAAAAGGTACCACATACTTTATGTGAGGTTGTAGTTTGTACACCAAGAAGTAATGAAAGGCCAGAGGTAACAAACTTTTTTTGAGATTTCCTTCTGTAGTCATCTGGCTTTTAGGATTGTCACACTGACGACTCTGCACATGTTTTGCTGGGTTGTAAAGTGGAAGATAGACAGAGTGGGCGTCAACAAGAACATACTATGGGTTTATGAGGGCACAGACGCATACATACAGACATACAAGAAAGAGAAAATAAGAAGCAAAACAACCCTAAAGATTTTCATGTTGCGTTAATGTGAATGAAGATATGATGATATGAAACTTTCACTTTACTGTTGACACACACAAAAATGGTTGCTAAATGCTATTGTATATGTGCCACCCCTGCAAAGTGACTGAATTCATTATTTAATCTTGGTAACAGTTAAATAAAAAAAAACTCTTACAGCTACTCTTTAAAAAGACATTGTAAACCTGTGACTTAGAGAAAATTTATTGCGCTCTCCACAGAACAAAACTGAAAACACTTCTTAAATCAAGGCTGAGGATCAGCTGTTTTTACAATAATACTCTCATTTTTCATGAAGAAATAATAAACTTTTTTTTTCGTGAGGGGGAAGAGTTAAAATTGCTACATGCTACAACATACAGACAAAAGCAGAAAAAATTGGCGGCCAGCTCTTCAATGTGTGTGGCAGATGAAGATGAGGCCTTGTTTGTGTGCACTGGCCCCTGGTGCTGTAAATCAGCACAGGGCACATATGGCATGGCGGCAACCACACACACACACAAATATACACACACACACACACAGATGGATCCATAGACATAACACAAACGCTTGCTCACATAGACCTAACACTGTTCAGACTAAAACAAGGTCAGATCTGTGATGAGTCACAATTTAATCTTTGAATTTGAACCTTTGTAAGTGAACGTGTTCTTACAGCTAAGACGCCAGATGGGACTTGTATAGAGGAAAATCAGGTGGGCTGAAGCCCCGTTTGAAAAGGGTGTCTAGTTGCCTGTGCTTGCATGTGTGTTGGGGTGTTTCTTTAACAGATGGCCAGGTGGAATGGGCGAATTAGAGGGGATGGGATGAAAATTGTGATTATCGGTCCACTGCTACAGCAAAGAATTGCTTTAGCCTTACTTCCTTAGCTCCTAATAATAATAAAATAATGGCCTTTTTATTTATTATAAGCCTTTTTTGAACTGTCATTTTACTTGGTGCTAAATATGGGGCATGTACAGCTTAAGTCTTAGAACGAACTGTGATACAATTTGATAGTTACGGAATTGCTTTAAGAAGAGGGGGAAAAAACATGAACTTTTTAGTTTGCATTTTAGGATGAAAAATAAATTTTTATTTGGCATCATCAAAGGTGTTCTCATCACGCTGATGGTGTAAATGTATTGGTTAAAGTTTGTGTTTTGCTAATGAATGGTGTGCCACGAGTCAGACAGAATTATTGTATTGACTTCCAAGACAACGTCATTATTAGGTTTTGCGAGAAAATTTGACAACTTATTTTGTGAAATAAAAATAAATAGGCATTCATGTAATTAACAAGATTAACCAATTAAAGGTTGTGGGAATAGAACTGACCAGGTGCACCAAAACTCTAACTTAGACATTTGAGAAAAGTTACATGATGTCAAAACCTAGTCCACACCTTTTCCTTCTCTGTCACGAGCTCATATTTCCCCTGTCCTCTATCTTGTTACTGTTGCAGCCATGCAAACCCACACTTCCTTGGTGGTTATGTCATGACAACACAAGAAAACATAAAAATATGAAAGCTACAATTCCTCTGTTGATGTGGCTTCAGATGCGCATTTGAGTTATTATGACTGAAATGGAAAATCTCATAATTTAGACTTCCACTGATTGCCAATTGATTACATTACTTAACAGTAAAATAAAACACAAGAACTATGAAATCCAAGAGTTATATTGCATTTTATTGCAACAATTTATCTTTATTCATGATCAAATATGATTTACATAATCTGGCAAGGTTGTTTTAGCAAATTAAATTATGTAGAGTTTGGGTATTCTGGAAAATATTAAAGATTTATTACATGCAAAGATATATGTAGTTGTACAAAAAGTTTACAAATATCTGAGAAATAGTGTTTTATTTCAAAAATCAGTCTTTGAAGTGTTTTGTGTCAGTCTATTATACATTAAAGAGTGAAGAAAAAAAATTGACCTGTGTGATCTGTGGGAGAGCATTCCTATTTCTAAACTTGAGAAACTGGTCTCCTCTGTCCCCAGACGTCTGTTGAGTGTTGTAAGAAGAAGGGGGGATGCCACACAGTGGTAAAAATGGACTTGTCCCAACTTTTTTAGGATTTGTTGACACCATGAAATTTGGAAACAACAGATTTTTTCCCTTAAAATGATACATTCTCTCAGTTTAAACTTTTGATGTTGGCACCTCCACATCATTGCATTCAGTTTTTATTCACAATTTGTTTAGTGTCCCAACTTTTTTGGAATCCGGTTTGTGTGTGTGTGTATATATATATATATATATATAATCTGTTTAAATATATCCTAATCAGCACCATTATATATGTCAAGAAACTGAAAAGGTTAAGATGATTTTAATACTAATTGTTGATGCCAGGCAACAATGTGGGTTGAGGAGAAACTGATCTACTGCACTTGGATAGAGGGACCCAGTTTTTCTCTGACGAGAAGGCCATTGAGTGTTTTATTTTTGAATGCAGCTGTTCAAATATGATGGTGGCCTACTCGGATAACAAAAAAAGAGAAGCACTGAGGAAAAACACACAATACTATGCCCCTATGATGACCTGGACATAAAACGTACACGTGCTGTATACACACAGACTCAGACACAGTAATTTATGTACCGTCTAAATCACACCCTTGTCCTTTAACTCGTTCTTTGACCCACACATTTTAATGATAAAGACTCAGAAAAAAGTTCCACTTCGGGGATGATTCACTCTCAGCGTATGAACTTGACCTATTACAAATTTTAGGTTTCAGAAGAAAATAAATGCATGTGGGCATTCCAGTGATTCACTGTTTCATGGGACTAAGCAAACTGCATTTTATACCACCATTTTGTCCCTACTGCACAAGATCAGTTCTCAAGGGGGGAGTACCAATTTATAATCTTCTGATGCTTTCGGTTAGCTCTTAGATGGCTTTATAAATGCGCTGTCTAAAGCAGAGTTAAGAAGATGCTGTTCTGCTTGACTTTACAACATGATATTAAATGATTAACTTGTCTGCAGAATGGAATGTGTAGATATTTGTTTTTGTTTATATGGAAACTGTGACCCCCCATAACATTTATTTTATTGCTATGTCCATGGTCATTGTTACTAAGACTGTTCTTTCTATAGCATTGACAAAATTCTGTTTTAGTTTAGCCATAAACTTCTTTAGGTAGTATTTGTTCATATTTTTTGAACACCATTGTATACTTTTAGAGCTACAAAAGTTTTAATGATCTCTTCTTCTATGTGCTTGTGGCTCTGCCTCCTCAGGACCTCCTCATTGCCTCCTTTAGACTGGCCACTACCAAGCCAGTTTGGGCAGTATGAACTGAAGATAGAGGTACAACCCAAAGCCCACCACCGTGCACACTATGAGACTGAAGGCAGTCGGGGAGCTGTCAAAGCAGCATCTGGTGGCCATCCAATTGTCAAGGTAACTTATGAATATATTTTTTCTTCTTTAGATTTGGGCCTCTTTTCAACCAAACTTTACAAATCATTCCCAAATGCAAACTTTGTAAATTTTATATTTTATTTTTATTTGCTCCTACATCTTGTCTTGTTGTGCATAAGTGTGCATGTTACAACCAGCAGTCTTCTTAAGAAAGAGAGGCTGCATTCAAACCAATCTGCATTTCTTCAGCTATCAGTCCACAGTGAATACAAACATTAATTTACCTGAGTTGTCTTTTGGATATATAGTTGCTACAGTAAGTAAATCAATCCGTTAACTACATAAACATAGATTTATATACGAAGATGCCTTGGCGCTCAAATATCATCACATATATCCTTTCCTGTAGCAAGTCTGTCAGTCTACTGACATAGGCTGAGAAGGCAGGCAGGCTGACAATAGCCCAGTCAGCTAGTCTGTCACTTGATAGCTCTCGTGACAATGTAGGTGAGAAGAGCGAGAAAAAATAAGCTATAGAATATTTCAGTCTAATGAATATTTTTATGGGGCAGCACGGTGGCGCAACTGGTAGAGCTGCTGCCTCTCAACGAGCAGGTCCTGGTTCAAACCCCGGTCCAGGGGCCTTTCTGGGTGGAGTTTGCATGTTCTCTCCGTGCATGCGTGGGTTTTCTCCGGGTACTACGGTTTCCTCCCACAGACCAAAAACATGCATGTTAGGCTGATTGGTAACTCTAAATTGTCCCTAGGTGTGAGTGAGAGAGTGAATGTTTGTTTGTCTCGTTTGTCTCTATGTGGCCCTGTGATGGACTTGCGACCCGTCCAGGGTGTACCCCGCCCCTCGCACAGTGATTGCTGGACATGGGCACCAGCGACCCCCGTGACCCAAAATGGAATAAACGGGTAAAGATAATGGATGGATGGATGAATATTTTTAAATCCTAGTCACAAGCTTTTTTTTACTCGTGTGATGCAGCAAAGACCTAGTGCTTCTTTGTAATCACTGTTGCAGAACCTAACGATGGCTGAATTTAGACAGACAAGTTGGTCAGTAGTCCAGTCACCAAATATATTGCCAACTACAACCCACTGACCACAATGTATTTTTATCAACTGCCTCCATGGAAGGTGATTGATCATGTAATGTGTATGTTTGTCAGTATGCATTTATTTGTTTGTCAGTCTGTTGGCAAACTAATTCATGACCTTTTAGATGAATTTTAGTCAGATTCCAGAACAAAATTATTGAATGTACATCTTTTCTAATCAACCAGTTTCAAAAAGATCACCTCAGCTTATTAGCCTTATCAAACACAAATATTGCCTTCACTCAATCGATTTTAAAGATATTGAGCTAACGTTTGGTGTGTTAAAAGTTATGAGCCACCTCCAACACACTGAGAACTAACAACAGTCACATGATCTCAGTTTAAAGATTTGACATGCAAGGTGGCCAGGTATATGCATTCTTTCAAGGAATCAGTTTTTTTATTTGTTTTTCACTCTTGCATACACACACTGCAGTGTAAAATATGACATTTTATATTTCTAAGTATTGTTGATCCTCATTGGTTACGTTGTTAAAAAAAAAAGTGTGTTCGTATTTTGTTGGATTTTAAATTGGGTGTTGGGTAGATGTGTGAACTGCTTGTTGATGGGAAGTATATAAGTCATAAGGTGAACTCAGGCACTGCAGATTATGCATATTATGCAAGATTTAACAAGTAAGATAAAATACAACACTTGAACAGCTGTGGACACAAAATTTCCTAAAACAACAAGGACTTCCAGACTTCTGCCATTTGTTGCTTTAGAAACAGCCTATGTCCTCATACATTCAGTCATGCAGGCTCCCTTCAGGCAAATCATTAACCATTTCTACCTCCGTTAGACCGAGACTCAGTCCTGCCATATGTGACAATGCATAATTTAACTGCCTTTTTTTTTTTTTTCAGCCAAGCACTTGCCATGCTTGCCCTCATTTTCATCCCCAGAGGAAATTATTTGGGGATAGCATTTTACTTGATGTAGCAAGTGACTGAAGGCAGTTTGTCTTACATCAAACAAGGCAGTTTCAAAGTTATTTCAAACCAAGCTGAAACTTTGTTTGCAGTATTTTCAAGTTTAGCCCTGAAAGTAAGTGTAGCTGTTGGTTATACTTAAGTTTGAGAAAAGTAGACTTTTTTTATTTTTTGGCATCAAAACAGAAGTTAATTTTTATTCTTTAATATGGTTTACACACAGTTATGTCTAAATAGTTACTTTTAACTATAATTTTTTTAAACTGTGGCTTGTATTTGCATGGATTGGTGGAACTTTTTCTCAGCTGCTACTGAAATGGTAGCATGCTACTGTTACTACTGATAAAAATGAAGAACGCTGAATACTTTCATTATCATATATACAAACAGCAGTAATTTGTCACGAACAGAGTAGGTAGCGTGTTCGAGAGAGAAGCACACATAGCATTTGGTTCTGATCAGCAGCGGTTTGCAGAGCTTTGTGCACGCAACCAAAATGTGTGGGTGCGTAAGTTGGTTTATATGAACCAAAATGTGATGAGTGCCAAGTCAAAGAAACATTTAAAAAAATATGTATTTTCATTCTAATGCATTTTATTTAAATGTATGCATTACTAACTTAAACATTGCTCATGTACTCAACTTTTCTGTTTTTATTTGATGTTTTGTGAATTAAACCAAAATTTCAACGCCTCCCCTAATGTTGTTAACCATTTTAGTATAAGCAACATTGTATTTTAATGTAGAAGTAAAAATCACCATTATTAAACAACGAGCTGCTGATTTTACTTTTTACAAAAAGATCACAACAGCACTTCAGCAAATGCTAAATATAAAGTTGGGTCAAAAAATTACCTACTTCATATTTAAAGTAAACTTTACTTGTAGGGTTTTATTTAGGTTTTTTTGTTTCTTTGATATTCACTCGCAAGCTTTTTTTGTAGAATCAACATCCTCCGTCTTTGAGAATTTTTGCACGCCTTGAGTTTTGTCTCTGGTGGTGTGATGTCACCAAATGATGCCATAGCTGCCATCTGGATGTAGTGATGACTTCCTTTTTTGACCAGGCCAGATCAGTGCACCACTGAGCTGCTTAGTCAACAGAAAAATAAAATAGTCTGAGCTCCAGAGCAGAGTTAAAAAGCAAAGTAGTGAGTTATCATGGGCACACTTCTTTGTTTACCAGCTCCTCTGGTGCTGTTTTAAGACTCAGGACTTTGCATTTAGCTTGAATTGCTTAGAACTGTAGTTTAATTCCCAGCATTTTCAACTTTATAATTTAAACATGCACTGACTACCTCTGTGACTGGCTGTTTTAGCTATTTCTTTGGGTCTAGCTGCAGGTCTTAATCGGCACACCTGTTGCTAGGAGACATATAAGTCCAAAGCCTCTCTGGCTGAAGGCTGAGGTATCCTTGGGCATATTTAACCAGCTTATTTGAGTGCTGCTGTGCCCACACAAATATAAGGAGCCCCTCTGGTATTACAAATTTGTCTACAAATAGAGACAGTCGTATCCAACCGAAACAGGCAGACAGACATAGCAAAGACAATAATGCACTTGCTTACAAATTTACTACATAGTATGAAGGTAAAACAAGTGCACATAAGTACAATAATTTTTGCATATTAAGTTGGGGAAAATGTTTTGCAAGTGTGTCAACCTGTTGCCGCAGTCAATACAAAAAAATTAAGCTATGATGTCTAGTTAGAAAAATTTGAAAGCTAAAACAACAGTTCTTTTCCACCACAACCTCATGTCTACCAGCGTGGATGTATTACATGATTTTGATTTTAGAGCTTATATGCACAACCATGACCTCATTGCTGTCCATTCCAGCATGTCATTCAGTTTCTCATTTTCAGCAGCGCTAAACCATTTCCTTTCTGCTTCTGTTTCCCTGTATTCTACCTTCAAACTTGAGCTGACTCTTTCTTACCTCCCACAGCTTTATTTAATATCTTGATCTTGTTTTACTCTCAGATTCCCTATACTGTTTAAAAGTGGTGAGGGGAATGCATATAACATTGCAGAGCTGTGCAGTTTACGCTGTGTGAACTGGCTGGAGCTAATGTTGCTTTGCCCCAGGGCTCTATTTGATGTAAACATGTTAGAGGCTTGACTCTCATTTGTGGTAATCAGGCTTAGCAGACAGAAAAAAAACTGTTGTTGAGAAGAGGAGAGGGAGATAGAGGTGTGTAAAAGGGAGGGAGGATAGAATGGGAATAAAAGGAATTGAGTGTGGACTAGTATAACAAGGCCATATACAGCCCTCATGCTGTATACAGTAAACCCTTCTGTGTGTGCATGTGTCAGTTTGTGCATGAGCGTGCACATGTATTAACCTTGTTTAAACAAACAGTCAACCAGCCCTCTGGCTCTCACTGCCCTTGCTCGTGTGCTGGGCAAACAGCAAGCGTGTGTTTCTGTCCATATATCCCATGGTGCCACAGTGCCACACCAGGGAAACCACTGCAAGATAAAATGGGACCTTGTGTGACCTTGACCACCATTTCTCCCGTTTCTACATCTGTTGCACACACTTGTTAACCAGACTGTTACACACACATGCAGAGATACCCTCTTTCTGTCTCTCACACATCACATATTCAAGAAGCACGGCTTCCTGTAGGCTTAAATCCAGTTTTCTGTACTAGCACCCACAAGCTTTAGGACTGTAGTTTACACTGAAGCAGGTCTATAAGCTTCTGACACACACAAACGCACTTGCATACACACAGGGAGTCTCACCATGGCAACAGGGGAGCAACACAGGGAAACAACTTAGCAGAGTCAGGCGCTCACTGTGAGAAAGTGTCATGTTACGGCAGAGGGCTGGAGCTGAGTAAGGTGAGAGGCTAGGGCTAGGACAGGGACAGAGAGCAGAGAGTGACAAAGGAAACGAGTTGGAAGGAAAGGAACGAGGAAAGAAGATTGGGCTAGAAGAAGAAAATATAAAAATAAGATGATACACTGGGAAAAAGATAAACACACGATAAATGTCAGGTTGAAAATAGGTAGGATTTTGCTGCATAGAGCAGGTGGTGCTATCTGTACCTATTAGATATTTCAAAAATTAATATACCAATAATGATGTAAAATGGCCCTAAATGGCTGTTTCTTTGTTTTTTGCATTCTAAACAAAAATGTAGATGTTTAACGTGGATATGCCTGCAAGCCATTTATGTATGTATGCAATGTGGGGACATGTTTTCCCCTCAGCTTGCTAGCCTTATTACTGGCTCAGTGGAACAGATGAAGGCCAAAAATAAATGGGGACTTTATTTAGTGGAAGGTGAGTATGTAACCATATCCAGCAGTTTTATTTTAAGGGAAAGGGTTTATCCTAAACTTGATCCACAATCAGATGCTGGAAGTCAGAAGTTAGTTACATGCTTCAGTGAGCATGGGTCTGGGGTCTTGTGACGATTTTTAATGTCACCGTGGAATAAGAACAGATTCTATCAGGCCTGACTTGTTTATTTACCAGTCGGGCTCAAGGCTTTCTGGAAGGCAGACAGTTAAGGGGTAAAAAGTGCATTAATCACCCTCCTGTGGTATTTCACACTCAACCTTAGATCTAGGTGATGGAGGGGTAAGTCAGAAATGTGGAATAACTCAAGGATGTGTGTGTTGTGTGTCGTGTACATACACATAGAGAAGCTTACAGTGATGGGGTCGTGTGTGCTTGTTTACATTGTCTGCTATTTGCAAGGAGAGCTTTACCCATTATTTGAAATGAAAATGCAAATATGTGCCCTGTAGTGTAGTTAACAATACCACTAGAAAAATCACAAGGATTTATTTATATTAAGTGTAATGCATAATTCTGATGAATTATTTAAAAGGTGATTGGCTTAGAAAAGCAAATATATGTACACTAATGTGGAAAGCTGTGGTCTTTGAAAATTTCTTGATATTTGCAAAATGCTTGTGTGACCTATATTTCCTGGCTTGAACTGTTGACAATTTCCCACCAACTCCCATTCAGATACTTCATCTAAATTAAACTGGATTAAGGAAACAGTGATCAGAAAACACCTGTATTTCATTGGACTGTTGACTGAGACTGACAGACTGAACCAACTCTGATGTATAGAAAGTTCTGTTTGATTATCTGCCACTGTGGAACAATAATTACTGTAAGTTTTCCAAGTTGATCATTTTAATGAGAAAGGATTTCTGGGCTGCTGCTGAGTACATGGTTGTCAACCCTTTGGCTCCACAACAAATTCTTTCTGTGTATAAGATCCCTCGGAGAAATGAGAAGAAGGAGCAAGAGATATTTTATTTACTGGTGACAGCCTAAAGTATAGGACTGACAAGTTGTAAATGTAAACCTAGAACATCTAATAAACTGATATCAGGGCTTGGCATTCATTTTTATATGACTTTTTCTTATAACTTCAGATCAGGTTTTTTTATTTATTTGTAGTTCTGTGGCTCTTTTTAAAAATTATGCCAATAAAACTTGGATAACAGCTGGAACAAATGCTTTTTGTACTGCATTGCTGAAGGGTAACAAACATGACTTGAAGGTACTTTTATTTACATCTGTGTCATGTTGAAATAGACAAGGTAATGACAAGTCAAAACTTGCTGTTGGCTGACACTTGCTTCCAAATGACACTGATTAGTATTTGAAGCAATAAATCTTTTTTGTAAAACCTTTTATTATAAGTGGGTTTCGGGGGAGATTTGATCATGGGCAGTACCAGAAATCCTGCTCTAATGAAACCCCTAAAACATGTTTAGCTCTAACGGTAGTTTAAATTAAAATTTTTGCATTAAATTACCACTGCATTAAAAAAAATCAAAAGAAGCACTAACAATAAACATAAATGTAAACAATTAGATTTATTTATTTTATTTTATTTTATTTTATTTTTCTTTGTTCTTATAATGTCTGTCCATTCTGCTGGATACGTTCCTTCAGTTGTTGTCCTGTCTGGAAAACACATGGATCTGGAAATGGATCCCACGAAGGTTACTAGTTTGTTACTTGGTTTGAAAAAAAAAAAGTATAATACTGTGTTTGGGAATGTATGGATTCTGGCCAGGATGCCTAATAATTACCTGTTATATTGTTAGACATGTAAACAACATGTTACTTTTATTTGGTTCTTAAGATCTTACTGGATTTTCCCGTGGTTATTTTTTATAGGTTTCATGCTGCTTTTTGGTACAACTTCCTTTTGAATATGTTCAATGTACATGCATTACATACATTTGTAATTCAGTTTTTACTGTGTTGTACCCAATTTGACATGGGTCAAGGGTTGTTATGTTGGTGTAGGGTATCAGTCATTCAAGGTACAGTAATCCTAGTGAAGGTAACTGGACTTTTTTGATTTTAATTCATCCATCAATCTTTTACCTGCTTCTGTCTTTTTGGGTCATGGGGATCGCTGGTGCCCATGTCCAGCTACCACTGTGCGAGAGGCAGGGAACACCCTGGATAGGTCTCCAGTCCATCACAGGACCACATAGAGACAAACGAGACAAACAACCATTCTCTCTCTCACTCACACCTAGGGACGATTTAGAGTTACCAATCAGCCTAACATGCATGTTTTTGGTCTGTGGGAGGAAACTGGAGTACCTGGAGAAAACCCACGCATGCTCGGAGAGAACATGTAAACTCCACCCAGAAAGGCCCCCTGACTGGGATTTGAACCAGGGCGACCTGCTCACTGAGAGGCAACAGATCTACCAACTGCGGCATCATGCTGCCCTTTTTGGTTGTAATAAAAAAATAAATAAAAAGGCATTTAGTTGTATTTTTGTTAACTGTAAGCAAAAAATATAATAATCTCAGCAAGTGAGAAATTGTTTTCTTGAAGTTTATACATTTTAATTTAGAGATATGTGTTGCAATGGTGCTTGTATACGTTTTTGCTTGAGAAGATTTTAGATGTAGTTCACTCTTGTACTTCATATTGCACTTATTCACATCAACTGACGCATAAACATGCCCAAAAGTTATGTGAATTTTTGGTTTATTCAGTCATGCTCTCTAATAAATCCATCAATAAGCTGTAATAAAATGGATTCAGAGGATGCGGTAAAAGGAGTGTCAGCATACCTCAATGTAGCAAATCTTTGCTGCAATAAGCAAAAACTTGTTCATCTGTGTAATCCAAGTTTCAAAACAAGATGCTACAATGTAACAATGTATTTGTTAAAATCAAAAGTTTGCATATTTTTTTAATTCAAATAAATTAGTTTAAATTGTTAATTCACATCTAAAGTCATCTGTGTGCTAAGTATAAAAAGCAATATATATGTATATGTATATGTATGTATATGTATATGTATGTATATGTATATGTATGTATATATATATATATGTATATATGTATATGTATATATGTATATGTATATATGTATATGTATATATGTATATATGTATATATTCAAAGTAAGTTTTGTACAGTCAAATTAAAATTGAGATCCAGTTTTGTACTGTCCAGTTCAATTTAGTTTAGTTCAATTTAAAAATTTGTTAAATTGTTAAATATTGGCATTTTACATGTGCCTTTTTATTTTCAATATTTCTTTCGGAAATTATACTAAGATTTTTTCTGTGCAAACTGCACATCACTGTCACCAAGTGCATTACATTCATCAAAGAAAAAGAAGCCTCCATTTAAAATTGTAATAGAGTACTTGACTGATTGAATCTCAGATAATTGACTTGGTCACACAACTTTCCACTTTTAACGTCTTTGTTTAACCTTCGTGCCTTAATTCTTTCATCACAGGGGGATGTCTCAGAAGCAAAATGTGAGATAATCTAAAGAGAATTTCAAAATTCAGCACAAGCTTCTTGTAAGAACTTGAGATCTTGTGTTTTGAAACAGTAAATGGTGAATTTTAAGCTTGCCACCTTTCTGTCCTTTATGCACCAAGCATTTGTTCTAAACACTGACACAAGAACATGGGACAGAAACTTGCAGGGAGAACGGCGCCTGTAGAGAGGTTGAAGCTTTACAGTCATGATGTTGAAACAGCAATGAAAGGCCCCGTTCTTCTGTTGTCCTCAGTGAGCTGTCCTCCATCTAAACTGGGGGTGCGGCCATTTGAGAGCTGTATGGTGGTTGCGTGAATGTGGGGGGATGCCATCCCGCCGTCACGGAATCTGCCAAGTACAACATTTCAACAGCGGTGGGATTGTGTGGTCTGGTGTTTGTTCTGTCCCTCTGAAGAGGAAAGGCTCTGCTTTCCTTTCCATTTTATCCTTGTCTTTACCCAACATGCAAACATTTTCCTTCATCAAAGTTTCTTTCCTCTGAGTAGAGACCAATGTGCCAGCACTCAGGAACGACAGCTTGGCACTCATTGCCAACCATTTTGGCACACATGTATCGTTGGAATTAAAAATGCTACTGACATTTTTACTGGCAACTTTTGTAGGTGACAAATACTATAAAATGTCCTTTTCTCTTTGATCTCTCACTGAATGCATTTAGGATTATACTTTCAGTATATATTTAAGAATAAGCCAAATATTTTCTGTTAAACTGGAATAAAAAAAGTTTCTGAAACAATTAGGTTGAACATGGTTTCCCTTGACCATATTTCCATAAAGAGTTTCTTTTTGTAATGGGAAATTTAACAGTTAAAACACTAGTGTCAGTCTAGTAGGAGGCCAAAGTGCCAGATGAATATCCAAGAACATCACAACGCCCTGAAACTGGCTTTTTTTTTTCCATATGAGAAAGCCTTTCCCATGCATTGAAATGAATAGAGTATTTTTTTGTTCACACCTTTCATCATGTGGAATCCAAAGACTCACATTTCTTTTTTGGTGTTTGTTTTTCTTTTTCTGACTGTCATTTTTCAGCTTATTGGCTATAGTGAGAAACCCGTCAACCTGCAGATGTTCATTGGAACAGCAGATGACCGTTACTTGAGGCCACACGCCTTCTACCAGGTGCACCGAATCACTGGAAAAACTGTAGCCACAGCTAGCCAAGAAGTCTTGCTTTCCAGCACCAAAGTTCTCGAAATTCCTCTGCTTCCTGAAAACAACATGTCAGCCAGGTAGGTGTCATACCAGAAACCCTAGTGCACATTATTCATAACAACATTACGAGCTTACCACCACGGTGGAAGCCACATTAAGAACAAAATTACCAAGTTTTCAATTATACACAGGTGCAATATGTTCAAAATTAAATATAGAGACTTTTTAAAAAATTCAAATGAACAGCAAGGGCACCAGATTTTACTATTCTATTTACGACCTATAACAGTCAAATAATTGTTTTTAAAAAAAAATCTGGTTTCATTTACTCTGGAATTTATAGGAATGGACTTGGTAGGAATTTTTACCCTATTTATGACTAATACATCATATTAACATGCATCTTTGGTTTGTGATTCAACATTACAACACTGGTTCTCATTGTGTATCTCCTGCTGAGATTGTGGGTTGTTTAATCACTCCTTGGCTTTTACAACAACTACTTAAATATGTCCACCATGTTTACTTCCTGACAGTGTTCTATGGGACCAACTATTTTCCCTTTACCTTGCAGCATTGACTGTGCAGGCATACTTAAACTGCGGAACTCAGACATTGAGCTGCGGAAGGGGGAGACTGATATAGGAAGAAAAAACACTCGGGTCCGTGTGGTGTTCCGAGTGCACATCCCTCAACCCAACGGGAAGGTGCTGTCACTGCAGGCTGCCTCCATTCCTGTAGAGTGTTGTGAGTGCCATTATCTTATAAGATTATATAAAATAATATCAAAGAATGTTTTTAATTCTTTCAGTTTTTTTAAACTAAAAGTTAGAAGATATAAACACATTTACACCTTATGTACATGCACTGAGCCACAAGAATTAAATACCGGTGCTTTGCTTTGTTGCACCTTACAACAAAGCAAAGTGTTGCGTTAGATTACTGTATATGTTGAACAAATTGTTTACCTTTCTGTGTTTATCAGCCCAGCGTTCAGCTCAAGAGCTGCCCCAGGTTGAGAAATCCAGCCTAACAAGCTGTCTGGTCAGTGGGGGGGAAGAGATGGCCATCACTGGTTCCAACTTTTTCCCAGAGTCCAAGGTTATCTTCCTGGAGAAAGGCCCTGGTAAGAATTGTATCAGCGAAGTGACTGTTCCTTGAGGTACATGGAAGACTTTTTTGTAGAAACAGTTGAAACCACATGTTTGTGCACATATTTAATGATTTCTGACAGATTTCATTAAATTGCTCAAAATCCAGTTCTCTAAATGATTCTTCTATTTGGATTTTGTGTGTGTGCTTCCGTTTCTTGTCACAGTCTAAAGATATGCATGCTAGCAAGTTGTTAGCTGTTTTAAATTGGCTGTAGTTATTAGAGTGGATGTGTTGCTGTTTGTACTATTGCCATTAGTGATGGGTTTTGGCCTCCTTGACCCCAATGTCAATGTCTGTGTCAATTTATTTATATAGCACATAAAAACAACAAAAGTTGACCAAAGTGCTTTGCAATTTAGTCAAATTAAAATGAAAACAGTAAGACAATAAGAACAAGGAAATTCATTTTGTGAAATTAGAAACACAAGAAAGTTAGCAATACAACACACAACTACAACAAGAAAAATTGTCAAACAAAATGTATATAAACCAACATACAAAGCATTACAATAATCAAAACAAAAGGTAATAAAAGCATGAATCATCTTTTCAAGGTCTCTGAAAATGTGATATGACTTCTCCATGGCAATGAGACTTAGATGGAAGAAATAGGACTTCACAACTGCATTTATCTGTTTGTCTAATTTAAAAGCACTATCATAAATAACCCCCAGATTCCTGACAGTGGATTGGCTGTATGAAGCCAAGGGTCCAAGAGTGTCAAGTGCATTACATTTACCAAAACTGATGATTTCAGTTTTCTTTTCATTTAGTTTCAGTAAATTTAGTTTAAACTAGACTTTAATATCGTTTGGTTTGTTCAAGAGTGGCTCCAGTGGAGTGACCCATTTAACTTAATGGGCAGATACAACTGTATACCAACAGCAAAGCAAAGAAATGTCCTGATGCATTCTCAATACTCCTGGTAGAAAAATCTAACAAGGTTAAGTCAGGTCCTCTGGACGGATTCTTCTTCGTTGAGAAGAATCCGTCCAGAGGACCTGACTTAACCTTGTTAATTGAAAAGAAATGTTAAAAATGGACCCCAAAAGCAACATGTAAAGATTAAAAAGCAGTGGACCTAAAATAGACCCTTGAGGGACCCCACAAGTCAGAGGAGCTGCAGACGAACATTCTCCTAAATGAACAGAAAAACTCATCAGTCAGGTAGGATCTAAACCAGGATAAAACTGTGGTTTTATACTAACCGCCTCCTCAAGCCGTGACAACAAGATGTTCTGGTCCACAGTATCAAAGGCAGCAGAAAGGTCTAAATGTGCTAAAACAGTAGAATTCCCTGAAACAGCAGTTAAAAGAAGATCATTAAAAACGCTTAAAAGAGCTGTTCCTGTGCTGTGGCCTGATTTAAAACCTGACTGGACTTTTTCAACAATGTTGTTGGCAAAAAAAAGTCAACTTGATTTAAACTACTTGCTCTAAATTTTTCTGCAGAAAAGGCAGTTTAGAAATAGGTTTAAAGTTTAAGAGCACTGTTGGGTCAAGGTTTTTCTTTTTTATGAGTGACTACACCACAACATGTTTAAAAGTAGCTGGGACACAACCTGATGAGGGACAAGTTCATCAGGATAACAACTAATGGACCAAGTATGTGAAAAAAGTCCTTAAACAGACGAGAGGAAAACACTGTTTAAAGGTGAATTAGAAGGCTGCGTATGATGCACAATGTCCTTTTAAAATGCCAAAAGTCTGTCCAAAGGCAGCTGAGGATGGAGGAAGTAAGGTTGCTGAAGGTCTCAGAGCAGATTCTCTCAATAAAACTTTAAAAACTGTTTACACAGTGCAAGGGATTTAGCAATATGATTAGCATCACAAGGATTCACAACATAACATTAAAAAGAATCTGAGGTCTGTGACTCTTGTTTAAATCCACATTAGATAAAAAGCAGTCTTAGTCTTAGCTTTAACAGCTCTCTGATAATTTATTATGCTGTCTTTGAAGATATCCAGTGAAACTTGCAGTCTGTCCTTTCCTCATTTTCTCTCCACCCGTCTGCACTGACGTCTCAGTGCTGGTGGTTTCGTTTAACCGTGGCTGAGATGGAGACTTTGTCTGTTTAAACTTTAGTGGGGAGCAACAGATTTCAGAATGTTTGTACATGTAGAACCCAAAAGATCAGTTAGCTCGTCCACATTGGACACAGCAGAACTGAGAGTAAATAGACGGAGTCCTAGTCAGTCTGGTTATAAGTGTTTTCTGTTTTTCTATACTGAGGCTGTTCAGAGTTATTTCAAATAGGACAATAAGTATTTGTGATTGTACATTTAAAGATCTAAATTATTGCTTAAACATTTATTTGTATTTGTTATAAGTACCTAATTTATTTAAACACTTTTTGACATTAAACCCATTTCTTTTAAGCCACAGTTTTTTTTTGCTGCCATATTTCCTTCTTTTGAGTGCCACTTTATGCTCATGCTGGATGGAAATTTTACAAGAATGGCATGTGTCTCTACCTGCCCAAGGTTCTTCTGTGATGCAGAGCAACAATTTCAAGTTCACACATGGCAACAGATTTGAGTGGTGTTGTCTTTGCGAGCAAGCGTCTTACTTTAGGATTTTTAATAAAAATATTTTGCCAGGATGAATATGTTCAAGTTCTGTTCAGGCTTAGCTAATGAAGCATGGAGGAGAAAAGCAGTGAGTGGAAGCCTTGGAGTGTCACATCTCAGGTTGGGGAAATGTTGGGCCTCTTACTGCATAAAGTCATTGGTCTGTGGAAGAGGCAGAAAAACTGTTAAGTGAAGAGGAACACGATGTTCATTGTGGTTGTGTAGTTGACAGCCTACATTATAATTAATCTCTCTGAATCACTGCAGAAAGACACTGAAGTAGTAAGGAAAGAAACAAAAGGATTGTATTGAACATATTTCCACCGTACTGTACCTACTTACTAACTGAAAGGTGAAAGTATATTCACAGCAAACTAGAGTGACTGGCCTGCTGCTGCTTGTACACAGAAATTGCATGGTTTTAAATTACTGCAGTGTAAAACAACGGCAACAAAATTACTAGTGCTCTATTTAGATTTGATTAAATGATAAATGATAACGATAAAGGAAAACACTACAGTACCTTCTGATATGTAAAAACTTAATTTCATGAAACTTTTGCTGAGGTACTTAAAAACATTTCTGTCGACTTAACAGTTCATGCACTAAGTTCTTATGAAAAATAAAATATTGTCTAAAACATCTTTATTCCTGTGATAATGTTAGACCTCGAGTTTCCTCCCTAAATTTGAGCTAAAGTTTGAAGAAAAATAACAAAATTAAAATGTACTGTATTCGATTCGAGGAAATGTTATTTCAGTTTACCGACTTTGCGTTTGTGCAATAAGATGAGGTGAACTATGAGGGAAGGGAAGATGTGGTATGAGCCTGAGTCGTAAACTGGTTGTGCATTGAAATGTACTCCAGCAATCCCCTTTCCTTCAGGGGTGGGTGTACATGCATTCTTACAGAAAACCTCAGCTTGAAAGCTACTTGAGTTCCTCATCATGCACTGAAATTGAAAAGTCCATAATTGGTAGAAGTCTTTCAGTTTTACAAGCACGAGTGTTTATACAAAGGATTCGTCTTTTAAGGCTGTAACCACGTCTACCTTGAAGAGCTACGGACAGGGGCACGCTGGTGTTGCGAAAGCTGTAGAATTATGTTTTTATAAAGATGTATTCTACTTACCTGTGCTTATTTTGTTTATTCTTTTAGCTCAGTAGAGGACACATTTTTTTTTTCACCTTAGAATGGAGAGAAAGAATGGTGGTTTGATGAGCTGAGTTATTGTTTTACTGTGGTATGAAGCTCCTGTCTGTGCTTGTTGTCTGACGGAGCATGTGGGGCCCTTGCTCCTGCCTGTTGAATGTCAACAAGCTGCGCAGCAATAATGCACCGCTGTCAGCTGTCAAGGTCATTGCTCAGAGAGAGGAAGAAAAAAATACTGTCATCAACATGTTAAGCTCTACCTTCACAACAAAGATGATTTCTTTAAGGTTAAAACTACCTTGTGTGTCAGCGGATTACAACATCTCAGGATAATTTCCTGGTAAGATCAGAACACCTACTTTGTACTTAACCTCTGAAGCTGACTGAGTTTTGGTAGAAAGCTGAAGAGCTTACGTTCAACAGGGCTAACATTTGAACAGCCTTTGTATGAATCTTCATTTAGACTTGGGCTCTTTGCAGAGATGTTGCAGATGTCTGATTGTGGTAATTGGGGGTGGGGAGAGGGAATCCTTTAGGTTTGTGGAAGAGGACATGCAGGTGCAAAATATACTTGATGCAATTACAAAAGCACACTATAAAATGTATTCTCTTTAGCTCTGAGGCTATTCAGTCCTTAAGTTGTCAAACTTTTGTTCTTTTGCTATTACTGGGATTATTATTATTTTTTATTTATTTATTTTTTCCCATTTGTCTGTTAGTGTTTTAATCTCTACTGTTTCTCCTCAAACAGTTCCCTCTAAAATGGCTGGTCAGATCATTAAATCCCTCTTAGGAGAACTTGGACAGATTCTTAGCTGTTTCCTGATGCATGCTCAATAATCCAGGTAGAAAAATCTAAAAAAGTTAAATCTGGTCCTCTGGACATTCAAAAAAAACAAAACAAAGCAAATCAACAAAAAAATGTAGAAACGTTTCGTCTCTCATCCGAGAGACTTCCTCAGTCTGAGGAGCTGTATTCAGCTCAGTCTCTTAAATAGCACCGTCTCAGGGTGGATCAACCAGTTTTGCTGCTGACAACCAAAACCAGCTGATCACATGCTCAAGAAGGACCATCAGCATAACAATGGATCATTAGCACACTGATGGCTGTTTACTGTTCACAGAGGGCTGAGTGATACTAGCAATCACAGCATTGTAAGAGGGGGACAGTTGAACACGTAGGCCTCCACCCCTGTTTAATGATTGACGATTTCTTTTCACAAAGATGGCCTCCTTTACTCCTCTCTCATCTCCAGGCCAGCGGTCACTCTTTCAGGGATGAAGATGTTCACATCCTGGACAGAGAGGAACGATGGTTTGAGAAGTCTCTCGGATGAGAGACGAAACGTTTCTACATTTTTTTGTTGATTTGCTTTGTTTTGTTTTTTTTTGAATGTCCAGAGGACCAGATTTAACTTTTTTAGATTCTTAGCTGTTATTTAAAAAAAATATGTTAGACTAAATATAATTGTCCCATTTCTTTCGACTTAATGTTAACAAGGCAAGACAAACAGCAGGACATTTGGACATTAGATTAATATTTATTAGCTGTTAAAATGATCTGTTTGGGGCTTCTCTGCCTTTTTAAACTGCACCACATTCATGAATCTTATAATGTAAAAATGAGGGAAAAGAGCCTGTCTTGATAGAAAAAGCTAGTTAACATGTTGCACCACATTTTATATGGGTCTGAAATGAAATGGAAGTTGTCACTAGTGATTATCTCTTACCTAGACTCAGCCCTATAATAGTGATACACTTTTTAATTAAAGTAGATGACTTATTGTGTTTGTAATAAGAGATTTTACCCATAGAACATTAACAATGTAAATGGTTTATTCGGTTTGTTTTGTTTCTCTCCCTCTTTCTAGATGGACGACCACAGTGGGAAGTTGAGGCAAAAATAATTCGGGAGAAAACTCAAAGTGTGAGTAGTTTTATCTGCCACTTTAACTATATTCCAACAATCTTTCTAAAATACTTAAAAAGATTTATTAGGGATGTTTCAGTCAGACACCAAACTAATTGAGGGTCTTGAGCAGGGCCACTTTTTTCAATTAAAAAAGGTCCCTGAGAACATTTAAAATCTTCATTTTATTGGTTTGTGTTTATCATACAGTGATGGTTATTGTAAGGCAAATGGCTCATGACTAATTAGCATACCCATTCTAATGAGTATTATTAAAACTAAACTATTTAAGCTATATTGTTTATGTCACTAATCGTATACATATATCATTTATTTCTGGCTTAAATAAAACAAGTGCAACTCACATTGAGTTGTCTTGAGGGAAAAAAAAAAGTTTTATCAGAGAATAGTAAAATTGTAGCAAGTTTCATTCAAGTAGGTGAAAGTCTGATGCTACAAAGCCGTTCTCTTCTGGTATCACTGAATAGATTAAATATATATTTTTTGGAGTTTATCTTGTAGTTGAGTTTTTTTTGTGT